CGTTGGCAGTGGCGTGAGGCTGGTCCGCATCACACACCACCGCACCCCGCGCACGCGCCCAGCAGGCCCGATAAAAGGCAGTTTTTTCAGGCGCCACTGCTGCTGGGACCGGAGCCGTCAAAAGCTGGGCTGGCCAATCTCCGAGCGACAATGGCAAAGGTGTGCAGGCCCTCTGACCGGCACCGCGGAGACTCCTGTAGCGCTGGTGGCCAGGCCCATTGCGCCACCGCTGGGGTCCAGTTTAGTTTGCAAAAAATTTTACAAAAATTTTCACATTCCCCGTCACATCGAATTTTTGGACGCATGCATGAAGCATTAAATATAAATAAAAAATAAAACTAATTACACAGTTTAGACGAAATCCACGAGACAAATCTTTTAAGTCTAATTAGACTATGATTGGATACTATTTGCCAAATAACAACGAAAACGTTACGGTACTCATTTTGCAAAATTTTTTGCATCTAAACAAGCGCTGGATCCAAATCCAATCACCGGCGTTCGTTTCGATGACGCGGCCACGCTGAGGCCGGGCCGGCTCCTGCTCTTCTCTTGTTTTTAAATGCAGTACACGACGGTGCGGACACCGGACGCGTTCCTGCTTGTGACCATCGAACGCACGCACACGCACGTCATCTCCCACCAGCTGGCTACAGGTCCTAGCTGTCCGGCCCAACGCTCGATGCCGACAGCGACAGAGCAACACGGATATTATAGTTGGCAAAGGATGAAAGATGCTAATTCCAAGCTAACGCAATTGGCTGCAAATTTTTCGTTTCTGAGTCTGTTGCCGGCGGTTTGATCGTCCGCGTTGGCAACGAGGCATATCTCCTGAATGATCTTCCATTCTTCCCAGAACTTGTAGGTCAACGATGACGACCCCGGTCCAATTAAACATTAACAAAAAAAAAGGTCCGAAGCAGCGGTATTAAAATGCGAAAGTGAATCAGATGTGATATTGTTCAGAATGCAATGCATACACTACCAGATCCCCTGAAAATCAACCAGCATATCACTGTACCCGATTATCCGGACAGCTCAGCATATGCTTTACTGGGCAACTAGGCAGGACTGGTATTAAAGCCGGCTGATAAGCTGGTCTTGGCTGATTTATTGTGAGACAAAAATACAGTAGATTTTAGCTAATAAGCCGGCTGATAAGTTCAAGCGAACAGGCCCGATCCATCCAAAAGGGACATAATTTAAGTTATATATCAGTGTTATTCTGATATGAGAGGTGTTTGGTTTGTCAAATAAAGTTGTCATTCATCATTTTACTCTCTAGTAGTTTTTGGTTCGTGGAATAGAATAGAATGAATTAATGTGTCACCACTTCATTTCTCGTAAACTAATAATTAATAGTACTAGTATAAGAAATGAGACCATTCCACAAAATTTGAGAAATGTACTCACCATGCATCACCTCATCTAAAATGATTGATTCTCCAAACAAAACACTTTACAAATGGCCCAGAGCAACATGTGTTCTGACAGTATACCTTTTTCTGTGAAGGTGAGATTTCAAAGAACATGTGTTTGTATGTACATTACTTAATAGAATGGTTGTTCACCTGTTTTTGAGATAAGCATATGTATAGGCTCTGTTCGTTGGTTGATTTCTGAGCTGATAAGCTCGACTGATGCTGGTTCGTTATGAGAAAAAAAACACTGTTAACTAACTGATAAGTCTTGACTGAAACCAACAAGCGAACAGATTGATAATCTCTTTTCAACTAAAAAGCTGCAAAAGGAATCGTCCACCAGGCATCACCTTGCCTCCCAGCACGATCGCTCCGCCCAGCCGATTCTAACACTATTTAAAAAATTGTTTTAGAACTAGTACCTATCGGGCCTGTTTGGATCGCGGGAACAAATTTTTGTTCATGTATTTTTTCTATAAAATTGAACTGATTTCTGTGAAATTTCTACGAAATTCATGTGAAATTCTTATGTTCCAAACAACCTGGGTTTGTTACGTGTGCCTGTGCAATGCCCGTCACTGGGCCCAGCTTTTGGTGTGTGCTTGCCGCTTGGAAGGTGGAGCCTTTCACGTGTGCGTGCGTCGGCCGTAGCTTGCCTGCCACGTTGTTGCTGATGATTTTGGCAGTGTCGACATCAGCGTTATCTTTCTAATTTTGAAATTTCGCATTTTCAGACGAACTCTAAATTAGATAAATAATATATCCATTTCGGTAAGTTCATAATGGTACACTCTATTTTAGTATTTGAGATTGTTTTGCAATAATGAATATTTGAATTGCTATTTAAGTTCTTTTTCCACTAATATATGAAAGAAAAATAAGAAATAGTTCTTTTTGCAATAATGAATATTTGAATTATCTTTCATACACATTTTTGGTGTATCTTGTAAAACAACTTTATAACACTAAAACTTGTGGAACTTGTTAAGTGCATCATGAATTATGAAATGTTGTCAGGACCACTAACAAACACATGTTGATTTGGAGTTCGAGTTGTGGACTTGTGTTTAGATTAGTTGAACCTGCGAACCGATGATATTGCTGGTTCGATGTTCGGTTTGGTCCGGTCAAACCTCGCTTTTGTAGATTACTAGGTAGTGTGCCCGTGCATTGCTACGGGATAATTAAATCTTTTATACTAAAAACACACGGATCGCACGATAAGATAACAATACTGTTAAATTAAATACCGACATCAAAGTGACATTTAATTCAAAAAGCAAAGTTCGTGAAATTAACACAGTCACGGAGAGCGCAACGTCGCAGGCTCACAAACTCCACTGTATAGACTTTTTCGTAATACGGCTAAGATAATATTTTATATCGGCAGAAAGAATTCTACGATATTCATTTCTTTCATGCGCCAATAAATTCATGAATAAGTTCTACTGCATCTCCGTATAATCATGTACACACAGGTTCGAGTATATATGTAAATAGGTTCGTGCCCGTACGTTGCTACGGGACAGCTAAATTTTTGTACTAAAAACACACGGATCGCACGATAAGATAACAATATTGTAAAAGTATATGACCGACATTAAAGTGATATTTAATCCAAAACGCTAAGTTCGTGAAATTTACACAGTCACAGAGAGCATGGCGTCGTAGGCTCACAAACTCTACTGTGTAGATCTTTCCGTGATGTGGCTAAGATCATTTTTTATACCGGCAGGAAGAGATTTTCGATATCCATTTCTTTAGTACGCCAACAAATCCACGAATAAATTCCACCACATCTCCATACCATCCTGTACATGGCGCTGGCAAACGAATTAGTCACAACTTATGTAATTAGTTTTATAATTAGCTCATGTTTAGTCCTACTAATTGATATCTAAAAATTCAATGTGATAGGGACTAAAGTTTAGTCCTGGGATCCAAATACCCCCTAACTCTTGACTCCTGCTGGCTGCTCTCTTGCACCACCATGCCTATATGTCTGCACGTATATACTCTAATGACAGAACGTCTAAGATGGTCTTTATTGTCCATCCTTTGAAAATATCATAACTTTAAGGTTGTCATTTGTGTATGCTGTAGGATTGGGATGCTTTGCACTGATCCATGAGGGTGTCCATGAGAGTCGAAATTTTTGATGCCATTATGATGTTTAAGCTTACCAATCAGATAGAGACGAACTTGATTGTTAAAATATTTTCAACATTGCTTTCATAAACTTTCTCTGTCCCAAAATAGAATTCATTCTCACTTCCGGAGAAGTTATTTTTTTAACTTTGACCAATTATATATAAAAAAATATTAATATTTATAATACATAATTAGTATCATTACATAGACCATTGGATATATTTTTATAATAAACTTATTTGAAGATATAAATATTGCACGTAATTTTTACAAATCTAGTCAAAGTTGAGAAAGTTTGACCTGCACACATCCCATAACGACTTATATTTTGGGGCAGAGAAAGTATATGCTAATGGGAGTAGTCAACTATAAGTCGTGATGAACACAACAATACTTTCATATTATATGCTAATTGGAGCACGAAGAAACGCAGGGGAATTGACCTATATACGAATGGTAGGAATATTCGTTTAGAAAATTACAGAAGGTTTACCAGTCTCACCATGTATAACCTGCACATCTTTTATTTGGAACCACTGATGTTCTCAAGGAGCAGACACTTTTTAATTTCAGATCTGCATGCTGGAAACACTAAAATTAAGGGCCAACCTTATTGAGTCATCTTGCTTCATCTTTGCCAATTGTTTCCTTCCATGTATGATTATTGTTTCCTTCCATACATGTGGCATCAGGTGATCGATTTGTTTCCTTCAAAGCAGACGGGGGTCGTAGGGATGACAGTTTCTTTTTCTATCGCGCGGGGTATCGCATGGCCGGAAGGGAGGAGTCTTGCTTGATCTTTGCCAATTGTTTTCTTTCATGCATGATTATTGTTTCCTTCCATACATGTGGCCTCAAGTGATCGATTTGTTTCCTTCAAACCAGACGGGGATAGCAGGGATGACAGTTTATTTTTCTATCGCGCGGGGTATCGCATGGCCGGAAGGGAGGAGCGACCCTAAAAAAAGTCACACAAAAAAATAATCTTACTTTTAGTCTTTTTAGTTGTAGGAGATTTTGGATGCACAAAGCCAATGGTTGCTGTATGAGTCATCAAACAATTTTCTATGCACAAAGCACTTGAAAAAAATCGTATGCACTATGCGTTTTCTATCTACAACCACAACTTACAATTTCTAGGACTTTGAGATTTGAGTGATAAAAAAACAGGCGCCCGGATTAGTATTTTTCGGGCTCATGGTACTTTCCCGGCACGATCCTAGTACTACAGTATTCCTAATCTTCTGTCCTTTTGAGACACATGAAAAAAAAAGGAAAAATCTCTGTGCTGGAGCTTGCCTACGTGCACCGTCCTTCCCAACCAAAAATTTCTACACCCAATTTGCCTCCCAATCCAATCAACCAAGCCGAGAACTGAGTTCGAATTGCCCGTCCTCTGAGTCTCAGGCAGGCCTCGCTGGTGGCTATCTACACCTCGGCGCACCGCCGCGGCGTGAAGCCCAGCCGGTTGTTCTGCAGGTCGTACACGACGTGGAAGTTCTGCTGCTGGAAGTTGCCGATGATAGACATGCCGGTGCGCGGGTTGCCCAGGACCGCCAGGCACATGATGCCGTCCGGGTCCAGCCGGATGAAGTAGTTCTCCGCGGGGAAGTCCCACACGGCGCCGTCGGCGAACAACAGCGACAGCTCCGGCACCTCCGGTCGCTCCACGCCAGAGACGTTGTAGCACGGGTTCAGCAACGGGAAGTCCGCGACCTGCTCATGCGATCCATGAACGCGTGCCGGATCACCTGGTACGCTGGCTCCGCGAAGTAGCTCAGCGTCGTGCCGGAGTCGATGATCGTGCCGCCGGATCCGTCCTTGCCCGCATCCCACGTGTCCGAGCTGATGTTCAGCAGCTCGCCGCCTACCAGCACGCCCTTGAGCTTCACGTAATAGAATGTGTCCGCCGGCGACGACGCGGCCGCGAACGCCGAGTACTTGAGCTGCGGATGCGCCGCCAGCACCAGGGCGTCTTCCCCGAACACCACCTTGCTGCCGACGTCGCTGCCGTGGTTCACCAGGCAGTACGAGAAGGTGTGCCCGTACACAGCGCAGAGCTGGGACGCGAACGACAGCGAGCCACGGCCGAGGCCCAGCAGCCCCGCGGCCCCGTGTAAGAGGCCGCGGTTCGGGTGCCCGCACCCGAACACCACGCCGTCCACGCGGCGGGATGCGCCCAGGGCCGTGAGGTTGACCATGAAGGACTCCAGGGCCAGGTCGCCGGTGGTGTTGGACTGGTCCCCGTACCAGTAGTAGTACGGGCAGGGGTCCTCCCCGGGGCGGCGGCACGCCCTCGGCGAGGAGGCCTCTGGCGGCGGCGCCACGAGGCCGCATCGCTGGTCGCCGCAGGTGACGTTGCGGTAGGAGGAGGACGCGGCGGGGTCGAACACCGGGCCACGCTGCTCGAAGCAGTCCAGGCACAGCGCGCACTGCAGCCAGTTGAGGTTGTGTCCATGATCATCCGGAAACGTCGCGGTGGCATGCCGACGTAGACGTCCATCAGGTACTCGTCGGAGCCGACCGCTACGCCGGACTCCACCGTCTCCACCATCCGCTCCGACAGCGCCCACTGCGGAGACGAAAACGCTGGCATCCGGCCCCCGCCGGAGCGCGCCACTCTCCGGTGCATCGTCTCGATGCGGACGGCATCCTTCTCGGCCAAATCTAAGAACGACTCTTTCCGTGTCAGCCGGTGACGGCCACGGCGGTGTTGAACGGCGGGAACTCGATGCCGAAGAGGGGCGACGACGAGTTGAGCTTAGCAATTCCAGCTGAAGCCGCTACAACTAGCGAGACCAGGAGCAAGGACAGCAGCAGCGACCGCACCGCGAGCTGCGCCATAGCTCAGCAGTGGACCGACGGATTAGTCCTTCATGGAACAGCAGGTGACGGCCGGCGGGGGCGATGGTGAGCGAGGAGATTGGTGGTGGTTGAATTTGGGGGAAATATAACAAAGAAACACGGGTGAGGGAGGTGACCGATTTTTTTTTGTTTTTAGCCCTTTTTTGAATTTTTTTTACAAATATGTCCCTGGAGGCATGCTTTCAAAATCTAGACCCTTAGCTCGGCGCCATCGTTGATGGCGTCGAGCTTGCATGTCTCGGTGCCATAGATTTTGGCGCCTAGGTTCTGGGTTCGGCGTAGATGTGACGGTGACTTGGCAGGCCCCTTGGCGCTGTTGATCTTAGCACCGAGCTTGGCGCCGTAGATCTTGTCGCCGAGCTTGGCGCCGTGGTTATTGACGCCGAGAACGGCGACAAGATCTATGGTGCCGAGGTGGTGTTTTAACCCGGCGCCCAACATTCCTGCCTGAGCCTTCTTCCTCTTCTTTCTCCTTCCTCTCAGGTTTTTTCTCTCCCACTTCGCTCTACCTCACGAATCAGTATATTGGACCTTGAAAACTTTGATTTGATCCGTAGATCTTCGAGAGTAAGGTATCCTCGCTCCCTCCTAGTGTTTTTCAAGTCGTTTCGGTATATATTAGTCGGATTTTTCAACATAAGAATTATCATTACTTAGGCTTTCATGCAATTTTAATATTTATATTATACAACCGTACGATGCAAAGACGTGAAAAAGCTACCAAATCAAGGTAACCTCAGCGCACACTGTTATGATATGGGTTCGTTGTTGTGGATTAAACGGGAAACCCTAGGTGTAGGGTTTAATGTTAATTGCTTTCGGTTCTTAAAATGAAAATAACTAAATTGTAGTTATGGCCGGATGACCGGAAATATCTTCGACCCATTGCCTCTGCCTAGTGGTTTTCCAGTGCCTAAGTGCTTTTGCGACGATCCTTGCAAGGTAGTCAAGTCCGATGAAGAGGACACGTATAGGCAGAGGTATTGGATGTGTTCTAATTTTGCGTTTGAGCCAACACTTCGTCAGCGTCGCATTAACAAGATGGTGATGAATTGATGTTTATATCATATGACATCTTGCATGATTTTTTATTTTGTAATAAATGCATTTTTGCATGCCCCTCTACCGTTCTGTGATTTTGAGCAGTGGATCGATACTGAGATCAAACTTGAAGACAAGGAATGGATGTAGAAACTGTTGCGTTGAGAGACAGAGGACAAGGAGATGATGAAGAAGAGACGCAAAGAGGAGGCTGTAAAAAAAGAGCACAAGGAAGAGGAGGAAAGGAGACGTGTAACGCGTGTTGCTGCGTACAGCGAGGAGAGGGAGAAGAATCTTGAGCGTACACGCCGAGCGAAAACAACGATGGAGGAGAATCCCGACGGCCTGAGAAAGGAAAGTGACCTCGTTGCAATCAGTAGTCTCCATTACTTGATAGTTATATGGTTTATTTATGAACAATGTTGTCTAAGGATCCATATGTTGTCTCCATTATCTAGGCGTTAAAATCTATGACGTCGAAATTTATAAGCTCGGCGTCATCGATGTGACGCCGAGCTAAGGGTCCATGTTTTGAAAACGTGCCTCTAGAAGTATATTTATGGAAATTTTTGAAAAAAAGAGCTAAACAAACAAAAAATAAAAATTCAGGGGAGGTGAACACGACTGCGGGGGAGGTGCCTTGGACGACAGTGCGTGGTCTTTGAACACGGAGAGGAGGCGATGCGGGTTGGAATCGACGAATTTTGGGGACGGTGGCCGTGGGAAAACGCGGATTTGTCCTCCCGGAAGACGACCAGAACTGCCTACGAACCCCCCTTTTCCATGTAGTAGTACTAGCGTGTGTGACGGCGCTTGGCCAGAGCAGACGGGCGGCCTCCATGCGGGCAAAGAACCCCCACGACAGGACTGCGGCGGCGGGGCCCGCGCGCACCACCGCGGCGGACTTCGTCTTGGCGCTGTTGCCGCCGCCGAGGGGCTTCAGGCTTCCCCGCGGCCGCGGCGTCGTCGGGGCAATGCACGGACACCGATTTCGACCCGTTTGCTCCACTTGAGCTTGGCGCCTGCGTGGCTGCGTGAACGGAAACTCGTGCTCCGAGAACCATGGTTGGTTGCCCGCAGTACTGAAAGACCAAATGAATTTTCCATTGATGAACTTCCGAATTCCTCATGTCTTCAGTCCTCACAGCGGGGAGGAGGGATGGGCGACGGATCTGCACACTTTTTCGGGATGGGCCAGACTCGCCAGTTGGGCCACGCCGCGAAATAGAGCCCCGGGAATGGCTGTGGGCCGTGGGAGACAAGTGTTTTCTCCAAGGCGCCTACTGGGCTGAATAGCGGTGGCCGCTTCGTCCAGGCCCGTGTAATGCAAACAGCTGAGCAACGACGGTCGGACGGTGTGCGGTGTGCCAGTGCAGGCGCAAGTCTGTGCACCCACAAAATACATGTCCCGCCAAACGCTCGCTGTCGACAGCGACAGAGCAACACGAATCAACGGCTTCCTGCCAGCTGCCCGCCGTTCTGTACGCCTGTACCATGGACCTGGTTCGCTCGCTGATCTGAAAGATGCTAATTCCAAGCTAACGCGATTTGCTGCGAACTTTTCGTTCCTGATGAGTTTGTTGGAACGACAAACCCGGCGGTTTGATCCGTGTTAGCAACGAGGCATATCTCCACAACGATCTCCCCTCAACCTATAGCTCACAGATGACGCCAGTCCAATTAAACAGTACAAAAAAAAGGGTCCGAGACAGCGGTATCAAGAATGCAAAAGAGAATCAGATGTGATATTGTTCAGAATCAGAATGCATAATACACTACCAGGCCTCCAGAATCAACCAGCATATCATCACTGTACCAGATTATCCGGACAAGTGAGCATATAGCACGACTGGGCGGGCAGGTAAGGGTCAAGGCCGCATCCTCTTCCTCTGCTCCGTACAGCCATGCCGACAGAAACAGGATCCTTGCAATCCGAAGTGTCATTAAACAAAGCTTCCAGAGCAGCTGCACACAATCTACGCAGGTGCGCGTGATCTAGCAGAATCGCTGGACTGCACATGGGCACGAACATTCAGCACCGGAAACGAATCATTTTGATTCATATTTTATTTTACTGGCTGCACACTGAACCATCATCGACACTGAATCCACGTAGCACACTCACACCAGAGGGCTCAGTCACGTGGTTAACTGGTTACTATAGTATCAGATTATCAGCTGTCAGATGTGATCTGTCCAGAAGGGGCACAAGTTATATCAGTGTTATTCTGTACGTATGTGAAAGAAAGAAGTGGACCAGATCAACAAACATCAAAGTTACTGAACAATACATCTGACAGTATCCTTTTTTTGAGTGTGCAGGAGAGATTTCAAAGAACATGTGTTTGTATTGCATTTCATAGAATGGCTGTTCACCTGTTTTTGAGGTATAAGCGCATCTGTAAATAAATAAACATGAATATGTAGGTAAGTTTGCCCTCTGCCGTCTCATATGTTTTTTCAGCATATACTTGCTTATATCGTCTTATAGGTATAGACCATTTGTGATTAGAAAATCTGTGCACATGCCATACAAAGCTCACTATATATACAGGCAGAGTAACCTCAAATTTGAATGCCCGTCAAGATAAAATGTTGGTTACAGCTGTGGACAAAAACTGTGCAGCACAGAAAAAAACATGCAACACAAAGGGTGGCATTGATACAGATTAGTAGGTTGATATACCATGAATGAACAAATGGCTCATGAGGCAGAAGAGACTTCTCAACCCAACAAATGGAAAAAAAAAAACATGATAAACCATTACTGTACATCAGTAAACAAATAGGGAAGATTGCAACATATAAGCAAGGTAACAGTGTAGCACCGATCATAAATCACAATTGCTCTCAGAAATACAGGTACATCTTATTCTCTTGTAGTATCACAATTACAGATTGAATAACTGGATCAAATAAAGAGTAAAGAGGTCACAAGTTGGGTAAGAAAGATATAGCACTGGACCAGAACACTTGGTTACACATTGCCGGTTATACCATGTCAGACAATCCACATGGAAATACTGGTTCGACTCAACTGTGCACCGTAAAGATTGAGGCCTGACACAACCAGATGCGCTACGCAAGGGTATAGTATTCCCTCTCATGCTGGTCAGAGTCGAGAGCAACAAGGACATAGATTGCGTAGATCATTCCAGGGACATAGCCAAGGATTGTGAGCAGCAGGCAGATGCAGAACTTTATCTGTTAAGACACAAGAAAGCTTACCGTCAGTATGTTACAGGGATAGTAAATATCAATAGAGCTACCAGGATAAAAACAGACAATTGTATATATCACTGCTCCATTCCACTGAGTTTCATGATTCAGATTAGTCAAATTAGTTGTGTGATTTACTCACTCTAACATCGGGGGGATGTGGCAGCGAAATGAATGCTGCTGACTTGTCCTAGAACAGAGTATCATTGTTACATCAATGTAATAGGCTTGTGAGGGCTAATTAAATGGCCATCCGTGAACAGTAAAATTCAGTCGGGAACAGTACTCCCTCCGTGCCAGCGCGGCCATTGGAATTTATGCTCTAGTCCTCGATACAGTCTTTTGCAGGAAACCAAGCAGAAGCCAACCCAACACAAATGGCCAGTCAACACAGGAATGAAGCAAAACAGGCACTACAGTATGCACGGATCTACGAGGACACGGCACAAGATTCAGAGGCAGTTAAGCATTTGACGCTCCTATACTTTGGAATTCAGATCAAGCACCGTCCGAATAGCTTGGAATCGAACAATTCGCCTACCGAAACCTAGCCCGAAGCTAGGCAGACTAGCTCGCGGGGCAAACGGGCTGTTAAATCAACTAGCTAGAAATCGACGAGCAGGTCCCGGCCAAGAGTCGCGCGCACAGAGGATCGAATCATGGGTTTGATAGGTTTCTAGATCATCGGGGCACAGATCGGTGGGTAAAAACATAATTTA